CGCGAAGCACTGTACTGAAAATGAAGTTGCTTCCACCAAATCGTTGATATGGAGTAGAAATAGTGTTGGTGCTAGAATTGATTCTTGCGGAACACCAGCATTTATGATAAGAGAGTCAGATGAAACTCCGTCGACATGGAGACATGTTTGAGAGAAAACTAGCTCGCAGAGAACATAGCTTGGGAGGCAAGCCATGAGATGGAAGCTTGGCGAGGAGTCCGTGGTGCCAGACTCGATCGAATGCCTTGGAGATGTCAAGTGCCACGGCTAAGGTTTCACCATATTTTTCAATAGATTGCTGCCGTATATGTGAGACTTTAGCGAGCAGGTCACCAGTTGATCTCTGATGACGGAAGCCATATTGTCTATCGTTGATAATACCAGAATGTTCCAGGTAGTTCATGAGCTCGATGTTGATAGCTTTCTCCATGATCTTTGGAATAATAGATAGCAGTGCGATCGGTCTGTAGTTGCTAGGTAGGGTCTTTTTCCTTTTTTAGGAAATGGTTGTACTCTTGCAATTTTCCAGTTGGACGGGAATATCCCTAATTCGAAAGAGTAGTTGAACAACTTGCAGAGAACAGGTGTTAGTTCGGGAGCACTTTTCTTGAGAACAATCGGTGGGATTCCGTCGGAGCCCATTTTGATCTTATTTTGGCATTATGAGCATCCTTTGATGATCAAATTGTCTCAGGGCCTGGATTTTTCTGCCATCGATGGAATGCTGCCCGTTTGGAAGCGACAGCTCTAGAGCAGTTTCTACTGAACCAGTTACAGTTAATTTAGTATCTGTATAATACATAAATCTCATATAGTTTTACTGCTTTATTTCGTGCACTAAAAGGAAACTGAAAAACAGAGTCACTTCGCATATTGTTACCAATGCGCAAACCTTGATGTCGTTTTTTGATGTTTGTATAAAACATATATTTTTCTCCAAGCGGCATAGAAAGTAGCACTTCTAATTTTCTATGATACTTAACAGGCAGGAGAGGTGTACTATTTCTAGGTAGGATAATTTTGTTGCTATGCAACGTTCCAAGGCATTTGAATGAAATTGGTAATCAAAGTTGACATTGACATTGGGTGAATACAAAATGATCCGAGTTATCAATAGAAAATTACACAAAATTGGTTTTATAACATTTGGAAAAAATTGAATGTTTCACACGGCAGCTAATGTAGATTGACTGCCTTGGCTGAATTCAGCCGCGGCAGTCATCAATCTACTACTTCGCAGCTTAGTAAAACAAATAACTATTGTATTGAGAACAAATCAGATGATTTGTTCCTATCACTGCGACAAGAAAATGTTACTTTCAGAAATCTAAAAAATAAATCTCAAAGGTAGGTAACAATATATTGAAATAAGAAATAATACTTTTATATTAATTCATAGGAACGAGATAGAGAGTCCCAAAAAATCTTCGAGAAATGAATATTTACCAACTTGGTTATCCTACAGACAGTGATTGAAAATACTTTACACTTGCTCTTCTTGTTGGTGAACACTGAAATGACGCCACTGTCACTAAAACAAATCACATGGACTCAATAAAATAGTCGCAGAGAAAGTACCTATTACCTTGTTCTTGCGTTGCCAGATGAAAAAGAAAAATATCGATGCCACAAAGAGTAGAAAAGATACATCTTCAATAATTTTCAATAGGATTGCTACATATTTTTGAAAAATTTAAAACATTTTTCTTTCATGTTTCCAGCGTACATGAACTAGGTACTCTACTAATATATGTACGCTGATGTTTTCAAATATACGGTTCAGCCGTTTTTAATATATTTAATTATGAAAATTCAAGAGCTTGGATGATAAACGGACGATGGGTACGCAGGTTGTCTTCAAAGTATTGTTTTTATAGTAATTTTCTGAAATCTCATACAACACTAGAAGTACCTATCACACAAATACAGAGTCTTTTAAAGACCCTCATGTGGTAGTAGTATCTTGCATAAATTGAACATAAATATGCCATACCACGTTGAATATTCAAAATTGAATATTTTAAGAACGGCATTCGCACAGTTGGTGTACCCATATAAAAAATATAAGACATTTGTTGCAGTCGTTCTGAGCTATGCGCGTATATCTACAGTAGGTACAATTTTTTTGTAACTTTTTCTAATTGTGCGGCTGGCTTATGTTTGTTGACTCCGTTGAATTGTTGTTTCATCTTTTACCAAGTTTTGCATATCCTTTTCACTTTTTTCACCGTCATGTTGGGTCCGGAAGCCCGAAACACGTATCTACGGTTAACTCTTTATGAGGGCTATGCGGCTATGAACACTATTTTCTCCTCAGTCGCTTATATGTATAAATGTATATTGATTTGTATAAAATGAACTTCTCGTTTCGTGCAATTGTACGTGAAGAGAGTACTTCGAGTGATTATGAGAGGTCGTAGACCAATCACTATTGCTCGGACAGCAAAGCTGCAATACTGGCTTTGCAATCCAATAGGATCACAATCAATTTGGTGTCCGAGTGCAGAAAGGCCTTGGAAAACCTGAAAAAAATCAACAAAAGTCAGCCTCATATGGATCCCGGGACACTCGGGGATACCCGGAAATGAGGAGGCAGGCAGACTGGCCAAGATCGGTTCAGGACGGACCCCGGTCAGGTCGGAACTTATCTTGGGAATACCAAACAGTCTGGCAATGTCCTCCATAGAGGGACAGCTGCAAGAGCAATTCCTCAAAATATGGCAGGACACACCAGGAATGAGACAATAATCGAAGCTCCACATAACGGAACCTTCGAAGAGGCTCACAAAAGAGGTTTTATCCCTCAACAGGCGAGACCTTAATATGGTAGTGGGGCTCCTAACGGGGCACAAACTCTTCAATAGAGGCACCTAGAGCTTATTGGGATCAAAGATGATCCCCTTTGCAGATGGTACCTGGAAGATGACGAAACGTCATCGCATGTCCTCACTGAGTGCCCAGCACTGACACATCAGAGGAGGGCTGTCCTTGGCAACATAATTTTGAGGACGTGAAAGAGATTCAGCTGAGAAAGCTGCTGAACTTCTACAAGAAAGTCGGCATATCCAGCTGAATGTCGGAACATGTGGGCGCACAATGGGCCCGAATAAGCAGGCCTACGTGCAGGAGGGTTCACCCGCCAACCAGTGCTTTGGAGAAGAAGAAGAAGATGAAGAGTACTTCGAGTTCTCTACCCATTATGCGAAGTACAACTTCGTAGCCGTTACCAGGGCCTACTCTATGAGAGATAGAGGAGGCCATGCCGTTTCTCATAGCAACGGCCGCCAAAAACCAAGGCCCACTTCCAAATTTGACTACTAGATTGTTTGGAAAAAGTAGTCTCCTGGCTTTTGTCAATAGGATTTTTTCCGGGAGAAGGTTCATTTAGGGTGAGTTAGCTTAGATTGTGTAGAAAAAGAAGTCTTCCTTGTTTTGTCAGTTTATCGAAAAATATATTATTTATGAAGGTTCATTTAGGTTGAGTTAGGTTAGACTGTTTCGAAACGGAAGTTTCCTTTCTTATGCAGAAAGGATATTTTCCTTCCTAATATTACGTTATTACAAGTCTTCGAAATCCAGAAATCCACCAATGTAGATGGTAAGAGATCGATTATACGAGATCAATTTAGCGTAAAACCCAATACAACTTTTTGAAATAGAGTGAGTAGATTGAATACAGTGTCGACAAGCGTCAATAGACCTCAATATGGCTGCTGTTAGCTGTTTCGGAATGTCATTCGTGGTCAAGTCACTGAATAGCTAAAAATCGGAAGGGTATCTCCCATGCAGTAATGAATTTGCACCTTCGTGCCCACCTGATAACACATTTATCACTTTCATTTCATAACCTAAATAATCTGAGACTTGATTACGAGTAGTTGCAAGGTACCGACGTATAGAATTTCATGTCTGATTGTTGGATGTTTTGTGTCCAAAGAGCGATAACCAGTAACAATAAAAGCGTTGACAAAGCGTTGAAATATAATGCATAGAACTGAATGGAGAAAACAAAATAGGTGGATGCACCTCTAGAGTGACTAGATTAAATCACATTAAATAGAGTGGCGACAATAGACTTCAAGATGGCTGACGTTTCCGGAATGTCATTCGTGGTCAAGTCACTGAATATAGTTGAAAATCGGAAGGGTATCTCACACGTAGTGATGAATTCGCGCCTCCCGAAGAGCCCACCTGATGTTAGGTTTATATATTTGATATGTTCATTTCATAATTTGAATAATCCAAGGTATCGACGTATAGAATTCAATGTCAGATTTTGGATGTTTTGTGTCCAAAGAGCAAGAAACATTGACAAAGTGTTGACTAAGTGAAATAGAATGCATATGGATGGGAAAAAACAAGACAAGCGGATGCACCTCCATATTAGAGGTCTGACCAATCAAAAAGTGCATCACTATTGTCACCGTCACCACTCTGTGTTATACAGTCACTTCTACTAGTTCTACCCCTGCTGGCTCTGCTCTATTCACTTTAAACCCGACTATAGCAAAGGATAATTATAGGATATAGGGCCATCTACTTCCAGCTCTCCAGCTTATATATTTGTCCTGCCATTACTTACTTTATACCTATGATATCACCCTGTATATTATGTGATAAAATAAAAATATAAGTAAACTTTGATAATAATATAAAAGTTTGTGTATTCATGATAACGTCGATAGATCCTTAGTTAACAATCAGTTATCAAAAGATTGCATACAATAATCATCATATTATAAACCTTAGAATTACGTGGATATTTCTGGTAGGTATGTATAATATACCATACTAGGTACTAGGTATATACCCAAGTACCCTGTGTGGATAATATAGAAATAAGGAGTGGAAAGTGTGAGCGTGACGTGAGCTTCACAATATCAGTTACAGTTTGAGTACATTTCTCAAGTTCGGTCGAAGTTAAAGGTCGTTGCTAGGACATAACAAGTTGTGAAGATAACTCATTGATAACCACTAAGAAGAGAGAAAAGGTTACTCACTTTTTTATCTACATCTTCATTTACTTGTAACATTACTAGTGTGTATATTATTATCGTTATGTTATCACTAATCACTTTCTTGATGCGAATTCTAAACACAGTAGGTAATTCTTTCGTTTTTTGTTATGACAGAACCGGCCTCAGGGTAGGGTGAGCGCAATCGCAATTCCAGTGGCGTGCTTCAATTTCCCTTTCGAGCAGTGCAAGAAAATGAGTTTGCCTCATTTTGCAAAAGGTGAGGTGATAAAGGGATTCGGTCGAGGATCTAAAGAATTGGGATGCCCTACAGCCAATTTTTCAAATGAAGTTGTGAATCAACTGCCTGCCGATATGGAAACAGGTGTATACTATGGATTTGCTTCCGTTGACCGAGGAGACGTCCACAAAATGGTAATGAGTATTGGATGGAACCCATTTTATAATAATACAACAAAATCAATGGAAACTCATATTTTACATAAATTCGATTCTGATTTTTATGGACGAGAATTGAGGATAATTATTCTTGAATATCTAAGACCAGAGAAGAATTTCACATCATTAGATGATCTAATCGCTGCCATCAACGGTGACATAGAAGAAGCTGATAATAAATTGGAAAATGTTCGATTTGCTGAATACAAAAATCATTCCTTTTTCACAGCGTGATATTTTAATTATATTATTTATGACTGGATGAAAATAAACCATTTGTGTTTAGTTTTATATTGGTGATGCGACATATTATAAAAAAATTAATACAGCACCCTTTTAAGAAATGTATATCTGTAATATGGATGACAATTTGAATAAACAGAGTTTTTTGGAAACCTACCGACGTATCTATGGTTTGAGTCGTTTTTTATTCATTTACTCGTTATAATCCTATGTTATGAAATCCTTGTTATGAACAACTGAAAATACAGTGAAAACTATAAACTAGGTATATATAGGTACTGGCCGAATTTTGTTTGAATAGTTCTATGAGGATAACATATTTTAAATAAAAAATGTAGATGAAAACTGTAGCAATATCACATTGAATTGTGAAATCCAGAAGCGTGATTTATTCCTTGGGCCATGGCCCATATGGCCCCCCTCTGGATCTGCCCCTGTCCACACGCCCAGCATAATATAGCAATCAATGGTAGAGGGAAAAGGCCCTCTTTATCAGATACTCGTGCACCTCTATGGCGTATTCACTTCGATAGATTTGTTTCCCCAAGAGAAGATTTTCTTTTGCCAAACGTGTATATAATTCTATCTAAAAACGAATATTTTTTGAAAGCACAATTTGTGGAATTGAGAGAGTTCTTTCTTATTTTTTGGAAATTGCTGTGAACTCTAAGCAATACGCTGTTGCCAGGGTCACAAAAAAGTTTGGGTGTAAATAAAATCTCGATCATTATTGGGAATATGAGGATATTCTTATTGACACTGAAGCATCTTGCAAGATATATAAGTATTCAATAAGTGATTATTATAGGGACCAGAGGTGGAACCATTATGTCTTCTGTGAATGTGGATACTGATGTTGTCATTTATCATATTGAATCTCTCTCAGGTAATTACATGTATAAATTTTACAGCGTAGAAACATGTGGTTACAATAGTATATTGTTTAACAAGCACGGAATGATATTTCCCACGAGAATAAAGTTTGCAGCTTGAGCCGTAGGCGAATTCTGCAAATAATAGGAGTGGGAAATTGGCATTCCGTGCGAGTTAAACTATGATTCCTCTACGGCTGTAACAGATAACAGCAAAATTTTTTTTTCTTCTTTACCAAGCAAACACAGTTACATCACAGAAATATCACAGTGATGTAACAATTGTGATCTGCGATATCGCATTCTATGTCACATAGACGTCGGTGCGATGTCAAAGGGATGATATTTTGTCCCACTCAATTTCATCCATGCGACGTCGCTGCGATATAACAGCGATATATTTTTTGCAATGTAATTGCGATATGTTATTTGTGATGAGAAAACTGGGAGTTTTTGCGATAAAACTACGATGTGATGCGAGATGACATCGCAGTGAAACGAAAAAAAAAAAATCCTCAAACATGGTCTGAAGAAAGAGGTATAGTTCTTTTCAAGATCTAAGAAACTGACCTGACCTGAGATGGGATATAATGACATGCGATGAGGCCATAAAGATATTAGCCGTGACAGGGTCGTATTTATTTAGGAAACATCAACTTTAACCGGCGTTTCTGAAAGTATACAGTCTGGAAAACTGTAAATAATACTGTAAAGCCTATAAGAGCCAATGGACATCCCAGGGACGTTCCTCATTCCGTAGGTGGATGTTCTTGGGTCAGCCTCGGTCGGGTCACAGGACGTACTGGGGACGGTCTATGGACATCCTATGTGGCTTCCAAAAAGGACCTACCAGGGACTTTTCTTCAGTACGTCCTAGTAAATCCCAGGAAGATCCCTTGTAGGTTCCAGGGACTTTTTGCAATGATATGAAGGATGAAGGGCGTTTCTGGGACGAACATAAACAATTCTCAAGGTACATGTAAGTACATACATATACGGTCTTATAGAAAGACTGTGTTACTTGGTCGTTGGTCCCATCGGTTGTAGTCCTCAATCCTGGCGCTATCATTAGTATACGAACTATTACAAACCTACATGTGATTATATCGTTAGCTATTCATATTTGTATCTGAACTTATGTAGCGAGTATCGGCAATAAGATGTTAGCAGAATGAGAGTAGCATAAAAATAAACAACCATCACATCTTCAATGATAATTGTTGTTGCATATCGATTCTGATAGAAATAGATATCAGGATATACAGGGACATGAATGGGACACCTCAGGGATATACTACTCGGAACATTCCCCTGGAAATACTGAGCAGGACATCCCAGGGATGTCCGAATTATATCCTTGTACCGATAGCACACTTTGGGACATGAAAGGGACGTACCTAGGATATCCCTGTGTTGTTAGGTATACAACGCAGATTCAATCCGAGCAGAAAGTTCCCACATTATTATCGCTCCCAGCAAGGTTATCCGAGGATGATTGTGACATAAGCTGCTGTACTACAACCTTGTGGCGTACTCTACGTCGTTTGGGGGTTTTATCCGAGAAAATAGACAAAAGGCAAATTATAATGGAATCACACCGCTTGCAAAAACTTGGAATAGAATATCTGTTAGAAACGCTAGATCGAAAAATCGAACAATAATACCTCTATACCTAGATATGAGACATGGTATGACACCCATGACACACCAAGTAAAGGATGGACTGATAAATCAAAAAAATGTAATAAAGCTCCGTCCAATAAATGTAGAAGAATATTAATTCTACAAACGGGGTCAGAAGACGGCTGGGTACCAAAATGTTTATTTTTGGCAGCCAAAAACATTTCGGATTCCAGCTTGCATTACCACTGCGATACATATGCTGAAGTTTTTGAGGACTGGTTTCAAAACAAATTATTTCCGAATATACCACCAAAGAGCAGTATTGTGATGGATATTGCATCCTACTATAGTCGCCAGTTGAATAAAGTGCCAAGCTCCACCAGCAAATAGAAGGAAATGCTGTCAGTTATTGAGTTCTGCAGTGATAGTGTGTTCTCATCAGATATAGCACGGCCCTACACGGTAAATCCGAAAAGTCAAGTCATCTGAGGTCAGGTCAGTTGCTTAGATCATGAAAAGATCTATGCACCACTGGCTTCTGATGACATCTTACATTGATTATGTGTTGATCTGACTGGTTGGTTGGAGGTCCTTCGGGTCTCCTGTCCATTCAATCATCTTTTCAGCGGCCCTATCCTTGGTACAGGGTGATTCACCATAAATGTCCCCCCCTCCTCTAGCTCACTTATTTTTGAACCGATTTGAAAATTTCAAAGATAATCTGAAATAATTTTTCCCAATGCATTAGAAAATACAGGGTGCTCGGAACAAATGATCTACAGAATACTACTTGATTTTTTCAAATGGAACACCCTGTATTTCATTGTATTTTTATATTCTTCCTGAAGAGCTGATTTCATCAATGCATCTCACTTGGGGTCTAGCGGAAATGATTACAGAGATATAGAGTGTTCAACTTCGAGATTTTTCAAGTTTTGAATTTTTTGTCTCGAAACTATTTATTATTGGTCGAAACGACTTCAATGTTTCCATCTCAATTTCTGATTTACTGTCTACTGACATTTAATTGAAACATTTACAGGGTGGTTCAAGATTCAGAATTCTCTGATCACTCTGTATCTGTTCCAATCATTAAATGTCAGTAGATATGTAAATCAAAAGTTAAGATATGGACATCATGATAGCCGTTTTGACCGATGATGAATAGTTTCGTCTCAAAAAAATCCTAAGGTTAGAAAATCTCGATTTTGAACACCCTATATCTCTGTAATCATTCCCACTAGACTCCAAGTGTGATGCATTGACCAAATCAGCTCTCCAGGGAGAATCTAAAAATACAATGAAAAATAGGGTGTTCCATATAAATAATCAAATAGTACCCTGTAAATCGTTTATTCCAAGCACCCTGTATTCTCTGATGTAGCGGAAAAAACTTCATCGAAAATCATTCGAGATGATATTTCAAATGTTGAAATCGGTTTACAAATAACTGAGCTAGAGGGGGGGACATTTATGGTGAATCACCCTGTACCTAAGAATCTCCAATCAGAATGAGATCAGTTACTCGTATTTGTATAAAAAATTATATAGTGTGTGTCGGTGTTAACAAATTTTTGAAAAATTCTCGCATATTAGTTTGCTTCTGTACATCGCACCCATGCAACATTCGTGATATCGCATTGTTGCCTCATCATGAAATCTTTGCTTTTGAAACATCGCAGCGATGGAACATTTGTGATATCGCAGTGTTGCCTCATCGCGACATCTCAGGACATCATGTCGCAGATGTGTTTGCTTCTGTATATCGCATCGATAGAACATTCGTAATATCGCATTGCCTCATCGCGACATCTCACAGATGTCATGTAACAGATGTGTTTGCTTCTGTTTATCGCAGTGATGTAACAATCGTAATATCGCAGTGCTTCCTCATCGTGTGTTGGCTAGGTAGTCATCTGATTTTCTCTTAAGTAATGCTCATCTATTAGACAGAGATGTCATGGCTTTGAATTTGATATTCCATGAGAGATGTGATTTCGTGATATAATAACACAATTATGTCATGTGATATCGGATACGGAAATAAAATTGATAACATACAAAGTACCTCATTGATGTATCGAACACAGTAAAACAAGAGCAATTTTGTCTTATAGCCGTAGAAAATAGTATACATATATGTATTGTTTAACGAGCACGAAATGACATTTCCCACGAGAATGAAGTTCACAGCTTGAGCCGTACGCGAATGCTGGAAATGATACGGGTGGAAAATTAGCATTCCGTGCGAGTAAAACTATACTTTTTTCTACGGCTGTAACAGATAATAGCGAAATTATTGGTTTATTCGGCTTTTAGTCATTTGATTTTCTCTTAAGTAATGCTCATCTATTAAAAAGAGCTGTCATTGCTTGAAATTTGACATTTTATGAGAGATGAGATTCTGTGAAATAATTAATAACACAATGAAGTCATTGATGTGATATCGGATACGGATAAAAATTGATGACATACAAAAAGTACCTCATTGCTTTATCGAACACAGTGAAACGAGAACAATTTCATGTTATAGCCGTAGAAAAATATAATATCTTTACTGCTGCTAGAAGGTGTACGACGTCATTGACAGCTGGCGTTTTTCGAATGGGGCGATTTTAATGATTGAAAAAATGTATTTGTGATAATTTGAAATACCGAATAAATGCATCGAATACTATTTATGCTTGGAATGATCAATATAAAAGAGGTATGCGGCGTAAATACGACTAGTGTGTACAACCCCCTTGGCCCAAATACTTGATACGCCACTCTCACACAACATATTTTATAATACATTGAGATGTGTCTGGAGTCCCGGTCCCGGTTCGGTTCCTGGTTTTCGTTCGTAGGTTGAAATAAACAAGAATAAAAAGATTCTTGACCAATATATCCGAATAACATGGGTAACAATCGTGGTACATAACTAGAATGTGCTTCTGTGATTTCACCACAGATTTCTTCATACAAAAATAATAAAGCAAACAAAATCGGCTGTCGGCAGCTGAAGCACTACCTAACCTCAACTGTTATAGGTTATGTTATGTTGGTGCAGAGCCAGACTGCAGATCAAATCAACATACCAAACTTCTTGAGACTTTTACCATCATTAAGCTCTGTCAAGTGTGTCCAAAATCTAGGAATAAACTACTTGCTTAATTCTATATTCCATTTTTATATCAAACTTGGTTTTAGGGAAGAATATTTTGCAAGTTAAACGACAATGAGTTTAAGGATCACCAGCAAATTGGGCCTAACTTTACTGCAAGTACGTTTCAGCTAATTTCGTTAGATCAACTTCAGCTTTTCATCAATGAATTATTTCAGGAGATGCCACAGGGCTTCCTGGCACCTGTGGTAAATCAAGTTAATCATCAAATAGTGAGGCATAGACGAACTAAGCACTGGGATCCAAAGTGGAAACTGTTTCGACGTATGAAAGTTGTGAAGGTAGACCTTCCCAAATTCAATGAAAAAGTTGAAAACTTGACAGATGAGCAGATAAGAATCCGGCTAAAAGAACAGGGAATACTACCCCCAAGACCTTGGGTAGAAAGGCAATTCTTTATTCACTCTACTGGTGGAATATTTGAACCTTATGTTCCTCCAGAAGGAGATGGGAAAGTTTCACCAGTGTCAAAGCAGGTATTATTTTACAAATCTTTCAATTCAATACTGTAATAGTATTTGGTGCTTGTTTATACTTATACAAATTTTGATATTAAGGGAGCAATGCAGAGTTTGCAATTTCTTGAAAAGAAATCTAGAACCATGATGGCTATACGTAAGATCCGGCAATATGAGGAAGATTTTGACTCACCTGAATTTTGCAAAGAAGCTACCAAACTGTATATCAAGATGCATGAATTATTAAGTGCTAGAGACAAAGACAATCTGATTGATGTAGTGACAGAAAGAGCATATCCAGAGGTTTTGCATAATGTTGAGAACAAAACTATAAGATGGAAATACATCAAAGATATTGAGCTGCCAAGGATAGTGCAAGCCAGATGTACAGATGTCATCAGTAGAGAAAATATTTTTGGGCAAGTGACTGTTAGATTTCATACCCAGCAGGTGAATATTAGTTTATAAGAACTGTTTGAGTAATAGGTTGACTGTTTGATATTTTAATTTTGGAAAATCATAGGGAAAATTGGGAGCAGGATTTAGTGATTGAATAGTAACAAATTGTTCTATTCAGCACAAATAACATATTCCATGAAAAATTTAACATTGGTTTCCAAATTATTTAAAATGTATTAACTATTTCACTGATACAATAAAATTGTATGTTCCTACTAGGAATTGTTTATCAAAATTACAGGGTAATCATCTCATATATCATGTACAGTAGGAACCTGATTATCCCTGTGGCCATGATTTCTCCTAGCATTTCTCCTGGGATTTCCCATTGTTGAAATTGTATTTTTGAAGTTTTGTTGAAATAGGAAGATTTGTTTGCCTATATTTTCATGCAATTCTAAAGTTATTTTGAACTCATGAGATCTATTTTTTTTTGTTATCTTTTCAGTATGTTCATACCAAGGTTCATATATACATTCATACATATTATGTAAGTCATTTTTGATTTATTCTTGCCTCCTATTCAGTTCCGTGGAGCAGGGATAATCTAGGTTACACTCTATTATTTACAGGTCCGAGTACAGCTCATATTAGCTTGGTTGTATGTGTTGTATGTTTATATGTAATCTCCTATGTAATTGAATCTTCAAACGTGATTTTGACTCATTTCAAAACGTCAAATGGAATTGAAACTTTGAACCTCCCTTAGCACACTTATCCAGGACTGATAACAATAACATAATTTAATAGTTTTCTTTCATTGTTCTGATCAGGATCTTCAGGATGAACGATTTTTACATTTAGATTCTAGATACACGGTAGTGTCTAGCATCAAGTATACACTCATGATATGAAAAAAAAAGTTACATCCAGAGAGATAGTAGTGTCTTGCACCAAGTACTCATATGAAATAAAATTTTCGGAGAGACAGCCAGATAAACGGTTACATAATCCATATACACGTGCCTCCGATCCGGCGTGGTCTGGACTCGCTTGAAGGCAATACTTCACACGCTTTCTCTATAGGAAAATCATTTTTTCTACTCAAATAACTAAAATAACAAAATCATGTTTTTGGATCGAAGTGTGATCTCTAATTGATACAATTGTTTTTGAATCACTTCAATATCTTTTTTTTTGAGAAAGTGTTTTAAAGAAGTATGGAATTTCTTAGTTTTCATTTACAATAATTCACAACCTATTCGCGAGATTCACGAAGTGGGCGACATCTAGGTTACATAATACGAACTTCAAACTGGGGGAAAACAAACTGTTGTCTATGGATAAATTGCATAGACTACATTGCATTCAGCTTGCTGTAGCTGTAGTCAAACTTGTCAATGACATAAAGTGTTGGCGCTGTTGGTAGTGATGATGGGTGAGTTGGTTAATTTTTTTACATTATTACATTTTTATCAGTTTAGTGAACAGTGAACGGGTGAAGAATTGGAGATATTTCAAACAATTGACTTGATTATGACCAGCGAATCAATTGACATATAAAAGAACAGCTACATGTTTAAAATACCCAGATTGTCCTGCTTTGCATGAACAAATACAAATCCATTTTTCTACAGGAGTTCCTCTGGACCCCAACTTTAATTTTACTTCATGTGGGGAAGATTTCATCGCCGAAGTTTGTAAAAAAGTGCAAAAATGTGCCTTTTGTTGAAGTCTTCTGCCTCACACAAAATCACATGATTAGCACGGAGAACTGCTTCTCCTTCCACTACTGGTCGGCTTTTTCCGTCTAAATAGAGCAAAATATCTGCCAAAAGAATATCTACAACAGGCATTATTAGCGTTTTCGATCGAATATTGACAATCAATGTCAAGAAATTCAAAAACTTATCACTCTTATCAGTACACAGTACACAAGCTGATGGCACTAATGGGATTGAGTGAGGATTGAGTTTGTTTTCCTCCAGTTTTGACGTGGCTTTGACATGGAACGATGAAAACCGAGCACCACCTGGTAACATTGATTCCCGCGAATAGAGCATCTTTGGGATGAATCCCAGAGGCGTATTCGTCTTCTTCCTGTCTCGCTAGGACTCTTCAAGAACTACAATTCGCTATTTAAGATATTGGGGCAAAATTTTTCTCGATACATGAAAAATTTGATCAAATCAATGCCACGCAGTTGAATAAGCTGTAATTCAAGCTCCAGGAAACTCAGGAAAGCATACTTGATATTGACTAAATCTAGGATGATTGCTCATTGTTTGTTAAATTCAAAAGATAATAAAATAAAGCTTATTCTAATCACTTCTGCCATAGGGCGTGTTACGGAATGAAAATGAAATGAAGATTGTTAAAATTTATCATATTGTATAATGTATTCAGTTATATGCTATGGAGATTTTGTTAAGAAATTAAAATTTGACAAGAAATAATATAAAAAAGGCAGAAAGGAAAAAAGGGTTTTTCTATATCAAAAATACGTTTTTCACAGGGCGTTAAGAAGTTAAGGGTGGTAAAGTCACTTTTGTTTTTCTCTGTATATCAGGCGATCAGCATTAATTTCTTGGGAATTAAAATTCCACATTTCAAAGCATAAATCTACGATTTGGTTGAAATATCACAAAAATTTTGGTGAATTTCAACACATGGGAATATTTTTTTTAGACGTTAGCTATTTATGACCGCTTTGGCAGATTACTCCATGGCAGTGAAATAGTTGCAAAGGATGTTCTGGAATATGTTGTGTTTGAAAAACATATGGCCAATGAATATGGAACCTGGAGAATACATGCAAAAATAATTCCTGATTGGTTGCCACCCAGAGAACCCTCCGCATTGACCTTCAAACGAAAAATTGAAACCACAGTAGCAGAACCTGAGAAAGCTGTTGTGGAAACTGCTTCTACTGAAAATGTGTCAACACCAAATAGTGAAAGAGTAAATACAGCATAATAGCCAGATGATGGTTCACTGTTAGTTAGTATTAAATTTTGAGTCTTCATTATGTTTTTTACTGTTAACTCCAATTTCATAACATGTTTTGGGTTTCCAGAAAGTTATCTTTGTCTGATTGGAGTGAGGTTTAAAAAAACTACTCGGCTCCCCCTCATATTGTCCATCGCGGCAATATGATGTTATGAAGTTATTGTGTGAATATGTGTGAGAAAGACAGAGTGTGTTCTGGAGTTTCAAAAATTCACCTTAGTGTTGATATTCCATTTATAGAATGCCTAGAATATTCCCCTAGAGCAATACATTATTCCATATTCATTCTAGAGTTTCTCAAATGTCCTCACTCCTCAACTGAGAATATTTTATGAATATTTCATTGGAAATTCCAGGAATAATCCGAATCATCCATTGATAATCATATATTATACAGGGTGATTCATAAAAATGGGCAATCTCTGAACTACAGACTGTAGACACCAAAATATGAAGATTCAGCTCAGCATATCTTATTGTTTGTTGTTGGTGTTATTAGTTATTGTCATTATCAATTACCTACTGTTTTTTTCAGTGTCACTTCGCAAACTTTACGATTTAAATTAATGAAAATTGTATACGTGAATCGCAGATTTCAACACCAAATAACGAAAAACCTTTAGAGCTAGAACATTCGAAAGAGTACATTTTTTATGTAAAATCAAACAGGCTTCCAGATTTGTAACTCATTTTAACCATTATTCAATGGACAAAGAAGATATGATGTAATTTGCTGAAGTAACAAAGTGCCACTAGTCCCCTCTTTGAGCAAAGTGTATGTCGATCGATATGCACCGACATTACCTCTGAGAGGTCAAATTTAGCCTGATCAAGTGATGTTCAATAGTGGATGTCTCGTAACTTGAATCCGGTAGATTTCTCGTAGCAGGATCGGCTCAGGTCAAAAAATGCAAAAAACCTTGAAATTTTCGAAGTTTTTCTGTTCATCATCTTGCAAACGACTTACCGTACGAAAAATATAAGAATATAAAAAATGCAAAAAATCTTTAAATTTTCGAAGTTTTTCTGGTCATATCTTGCAAACGACTTACCGGACGAAAAATATAAAAATATCATAGTATTCAAAGTTGAATGGCATGAAATTCTGCGTCGAATGACTCAAAACATTGAAGGCTCGAAGGACAAATGTTTTAGCTAGGTGTTAAATTTTAGTGGACTATATTTTCGGTTGTGGATTCAATATTATTGTATCACTTCGATTCAGTTTGAATAATCGTACACGATTCACCTTTATGACCTTACCTCCTTGATCGGCGGAGACGTTCAAGTAGGCACTGCTTCGGTACTGATCCCGATGAAACGCAGGAAGAGGGCCTTCTCGTTGTGGATGTAACAGGTTCAACTTTCAACACGTGAAATATCGCGGATTCATTAACTAATATTCACCATTTTCACTCAACATCGTTAGATGTAAAATTACCGGTAAAATGACATACACGGTGATGCGGTATATATCAAAGTGGGGCGAGCTGTCGTTGCTCATCCTTGACTCGGAGGCACTAGTGCAGGCGATTAAGGATCATCGTGCATATATGAGCGCGAAATTGGAATAATTAAAATACGATATTTTCCCTGTAAATACATATAAAAAAAATATACTCAAAAAATAAGGTAAAATGATACGCTCAAATTAGTAGATTTCGAACATCAGTGGTTCAAGGCTTTTTCGACCACATGAAATATTGCGTCAAAGTTCTTTTCCACGAAAAAAAAAATTTCGAAATGTAGTAGAGAACAAGATTAACAAGAAGAGTAAATGAGTTAGTAAAGGAGTAAAAAAACAAATGCACTTAAAAACATACAAATATATATTTAAATATTAAATATAATACTTTCTTTACATACACAAATTAATAAATAAAATCAACGACAAAATCAACACACCAAAAACATTCAGTACTTTCAAGAGACAAAAAAATATATCGCATTGTTTAATTCCTCATAATCACCTAATTTTCTTGGTGTGTCAACTCTGACGTGGAGGGTGTTAAAGCTAATCTTGCTGGAAATTAACCTAGCTCGATCTACACAAAGCTGCTGGAAGTTCTTTCCAAGAACAACCCCTGACTTCGTTCACTGGTCGGCACCTCTTTGTGCTTGTAAACGTTGCTGACTTGCCCCCAGTTCTGTGGTTTGATAGGCACGATTTTGGGCTTCGGAGGCAGAGGGGGTGGATCGTTCTGCCTTTTGTTCTCGATGACGGTGGCATTCAAGCTTCCAGCCTTCGCCGGGGTCGACTGATTCGAGGAAGACGATTCCTCGGACGATTTGAACGGAGAAGTCATCCGCCCTTTGATTATTTCAGTTTCATGAGTTGTAAGGTACTTGGTAGGCACTAGAACATTTCTGTTCTCGTAGTTGAATTGGATTCCAGGATTTGGTTTTTTCGTGGTTGTTACGGATGTATTCTTTGGTTCTTGGTGATTCATTCCGAACTGAGTATTTTGTTCCGTTTTATTTGATATTTCTTCGTTTTCCTTGTCTTTCAAAAAATCTGGCAGTTCGAAGTTTATTTCTGTTCCTCTTTGATCCTCGATTCGTCTTTGTGCCCTAGTGAGCCCCTCTACCAATTCTATAAAAAAAGAATAATCTATAAACAACTAAAGCACGAAAATCTTGATAAAGTCATCTGATATTGTGTGAATCAAACAATTGTTGCTTGTTCAATATCAATTTTGTCTTTTGATGACCTAGTTTTTGAACTAAAAGATGATTCAATTTGAGTTACCTATATATACACACACTGGCACAATTAGGGGAACGGGCAAAATTTACACTACGTTTGACATCAATTTTCTTTCGAACCGATCGCTCGATTCAAATTTTGTACATCTGAGAAATGATTACCCTCAAACGATGAGTCTTTCCATCATATACAGGGGTGTAAAGAAAGTACGGATTTTTCGGTATTTTTTTAGACATCCTGTGGACTGAACCACTGATAATCGAAACGATTTATCAACACCAAATTGGAGCCCAATCTATTTCGAATATTTTCGTTTTTTATTCATCTTGATATCTCAATTATTCAAGAAAATACAGAGTTTCAAAGGAAAGGGGGATATTGGTATCAATTTTACACCTCAAAACTCAAATTGAATCTGAAAATATGTCGTTTCTTGACTAACCTAACCATGACCAAACCTCTGCCATAGGAGACAGAAGCAGTAAAATCAAATTGTTCCTTTTGTTCACCTCGGCGATATAGTCTTTCCCTGCCATCTATTGAATTGGTGCAGATGCGGCTCTCATATGTTAAAAGAACATTGGCCCACTGGTCATTTTCAATTAATGCTACAGCCCTCGCCACATCAGTAGGAGTCAAATTTCTCATGTTGAATTTCCATTAATCAAATTCATGAATTGTGAATCGCTTGACTTTGACAATAATCAATTACATTAACAAAATAGCCAACGTTGATTAACAAAAATAGCATTTCACCAAAAGAACATTGGAGCAACTTTTATCACCCCTGCATATTCATGAGAGTATTCGTATATGTATCTTTAAACAGTAAGCCGATAGGTAAAACTGTGAACAATTCTCATCTTGAAGTAAAAATCCTCGCAGAAACAAGTTGAAAAACGACACGTTCTCCCCAGTTCGAGTTTCGAGGTGGTAAAATTAATACCAATATCCACCTCTTCTTTGAAACTCTATATTTTCTTGGATAATTGGGATATCAAGATGAATAAAAAACGAAAATATTCGGGATAGATTGGGCTATAATTTGGTGTTGGAACATCGTTTCAATTATCAGTGGTTCACTTCACAGGATGTCTTAAAGAATATCGAAAAATCCGTACTTTCTTTACACCCCTGTATATGATATAAAGACGAATCGTTTGGAGGTGGTTATTTCTCAGATGTATTCGTGAAGAATGAAGCTACAATTCGTGAAAAACAAATTTGAATCGAGTGATCGGTTCGAGAGAAAATTGATGTCAAACTCAGTGTAAATTTCACCCGTTCCCCTAATTGTGCCAGTGTGTGTATATTATTTTAAATAAAGCAGCTGTCAATAAATTATTTTCATGAAAAAATTCACTTCTCAATAACAAATTTACGCATTTGAATGGTATAATATTTGTACGAACTGTGTATCAAAATTTACGGAAAGAATATGGTCGATTTCGAGGTCAATTTACACCTACTGAGTAGTAGAAAAAATTCTAGAAACTGGAAGCATTGGAGATAGTGTAAGGCCTGTTGCATAATCTTAGCGTCTGCTCGGCAAGAAATATTTTTTAAATAGAATCATCACTTAACTACCTTTAGATTTTTTCGGTCGGTTTTAAGGTTCTGAAATCATCAATAATGCCACGGTAATTTTCAAACAATTAGAAATGTACAGCAAATGGCAACTGACGTCACGATTTCGTAAGTAAGGGCAGACAATAGCACAGTTGCCAAATGTTGGTATACAATTGGGACTTCAGAAATCTTATTTATTCAATAATTCATACATTCTCTATTATGAGTCTTGTGTTGGGGCTTACTGCTCATATTTTTTTCTAAATAATAATTATATCAATTCACACAGAGAACATTTGATCCGGTAAACGTGACAACACGGCAAGGATTGTGCGCGTTGTCTTGTCAGTTCACAGCATTCAGCACATGTTACCAAGTATAAGTAATATGTCAAATGAAATATTCACTTTGGATGTAGTTTTATTGAATGACAGGACTCTTTTTAATAACTTGATGATAATTGGTGACTGCTTCATAAGTGGCAATGGAAGATCATCTGACCAATAAGGAAACAGCATGGCAACTGATGTATCCGACATATCCCAGAACTGATTCTCAACAATTTCAAACAATGCATAGACACATTTACATAAAAAACGGGTAAGAAGTGTTGCAAACATTTATATATGTCCCTAACTAGGCAGTGGAGTAATTGAATGCCAATTATTCACTATCAGTCCAGTAGCCTATTTGCGATTCTTCGGCAGCTGGTGGGTTTGCTCAATGGGGATATTTCTCTGCCACACTCATTGGACATCACTCAATAGAGTTAGTGAAAAGAATGGGGAGTATGGAATTAATCACACATGCTTATGATTCAAGTAATTTAAATCACTATTAGAATGAACCAAAACCTCTTGAATAAAAGATTGGTCAACTGAATTTGATTTCTGTCATCAAGAAAACGGCATGAATGTCCGATATTGCTCTCGCGTGCTAGCACTAATATGGTTGATGGACATCTACATGTCTTGAAATTACTCATTATCTTTATAGTCCACAGAAATTGGTATATTGTGGTTTTGGGTATATATTGGTGTCCTGAATAACTTCTCAAAAGTCCTTGAGGTTGGAGGCATAATCAATCATGAATATAATTTTCAAAATGCTGATGCATTAGAGGAGAATTATTATAGAAGCCGAGCTCAGTCACTATACAGTGTGTCTCACTACTGATGGATTCACCCTTGTATATTCCCTAATTATCTAAAAACAATTCTCTAATTCACAGGACCGAGCTACCGATGATATACACTGTTCGCCAGTATACAGGGTTGCCCACATTTTGTTGTCCCACTATTGCTATCTATGAAACGGTTAGATTGAAAAGTTGGTTAAATGGAAACATTTCGAGGGACATGAAGATTATGTGAGAAGGTGAAGTGAAGGTGAAGTTTGGCAGGCTAATTTCGGGACACCCTGTATTGATATCAAACTTTTACTAGGAATATCTGTGTGCATCATTTGAGAAAACATTTTTCTTCTTCGGAACTATGCGTAATACGAAATTTTCCCAAGAGTAACAAAATGAAGATAATCAGTCATCTCATTAAAAAAAATTGAGAACCCTATTAACACTCCTGAGAATGTTCTGACAAAAATGTCAGGGGGTGGGGGTGGTTTCAACCCTTCTACTATATCTTTCGGAATTCTTCGATCACTGAAAGAAGAGTTAGTTATCCTCTAAAATGCACTACTGAGTTTCGAACAGCGTACAAAAACTAGGGAAAAAAGCTAAATACTCAAAGTGGAATGCAATAGTCACAAAGAGAGAGAAACTCAAAGTCATTACCACATACTAGTTCATAAAATGAACGAAAATGGTTGATAACGAGAGAAAAACAACTACTTTCCTGGCTATATGCCACGCAGAACATTGGATTACATCCTCCCGAAATATATGCGATAGTTCGTATAATCGAATAAAATCGCAAGTGTTTCCTTCCCTAGTTGAAAATACGCCAGTCGGGCAACCAGCCACTCCCATTTCACCTGGAATGGGATCTTGTTTTGGAGTAATTATTTCCTTGCCAGGTGGCGTTCGGCGTTCGCGTTTTCATTTCGCGGACTTCGAACGCCTCGTATGGTATAAATGCTGAGATGCGTTTACGTTGGGTCAGGCAGGTTCGCACCAGATAGCGGTCAAAAAGCTATCTGGGACAGCCCTGTACTGATGAGAGCCAACAGCTCGAAACCGGTCTGCAGGTAGTCAGCGTTCCTGAATCACTTAAGCGCAGCTCAGTGTTTAGGAAGGAAACACTTGCGATTTTATTCGTTTATACGAACTATCGCATAGATTTCGGGAGGAGTAGTTGTTTTTCTCTCGTTATCTACCATTTTCGTTCATTTTATGAACTAGTATGTGGTAATGACTTTGAGTTTCTCTCTCTTTGTGAATTACATGTGGAAGCTCTAAGTCCCAGCAATTTTGGGACACCTTGTATTCCTACTGAAAACTCACCATCACTTAAATGCAATTTATTCGCTCCTTGTTTCATTTTGGCAATCAGCGGCTTCTTCAGTTGACTATGATCATCCCCGTTGTCTTCGGGATAGAAAGTGGGTTTGCACTTGGTAGACATTTTCTTTTTGCGATCAAGCATGCCCGAATCTCTTCGCAGAAATTTCCCGATAAATGTTGAAGAGTGTTCCGAACCCCAATCTTCACTCTAGAATATCAGAAAAATACAATAATGCATGAGATGTAATTTTTTATTGATGTCACACCTTGATAGATCCTTTATCCGATTTTGTTGGTTTATGAGCTGAATCACATTTATCTTGTAGAATCCCCTCAAATACTTGATTGGTTATTTCTTCAAGTTTGGTAACTTTACTGTTATTATTGCAGTTTTCGGGAAAATGCATGTTTCCTTGTCTAGTATCTGAAATCACAAAATTGAAACATTAGCTATAGATAGAACTACATGGAGATGGGGGACATAATTATCATTTCAATCTTCCAACCCTTGACAAAATGAAATGGAAGATGAAAAAATGGACACTTAATTTTAATAAAAGTTTATAGTTCCTGAAGTTTCCTTCGGACTAGTTGCATAAGTTTGATATGTTCATGTTTAATTGCACTTTTGGGAATTTGAGAGCACGTGGGCCTTTATAAAACAATAACCCGACCCGTGAATTGATTTAATTGATATATTTTTATAAATAACAGCTAATATAGCAAGCTGACTGACAAAACACGTCTAAAGCCATAGTGCCGCTGTTATTTATCTGATTTTAAAAAACAAAAATGTATTGACTTCTCAGATACTAACACAAGTATTTTTCTTCTGAATACAATGATGTATGAGAAGTTGACTTTCGCGCAAAATTACTTGAAATAAATGTAGGCTCTGTGGACAAGAAATGAATATTTTCATAAAATTTTCTATCGAGTCATTGGAGGTCGAGTCCGATCCTTATAAAAAACAAGACATTATAAGGTTGAGAAAATGATTTATTGAAAACATCTTTGGAAACTACAAACTAGAAAGAGTAATGGATGACGACAGAGCATGCATTTTTTTCAACTAATTTTGTGCAAAAGTCAACTTTTTGTACATCATTGTATTCAGTAAGCAAAATGTACATCAGAAAAAAATTAAACAATAAGCCATTTTGAAACAAAAATAACAACCGCTATCGTTAGAGTTGAGTATCTGATGAGTAATGCCATTTGCATTTTTGTTTTTTGAAATCGAATAATGAATATCGGCGCTATGGCTTGGGGCATCTTTTGTCAGTCAGCCTGTATACAGAATAATTGAGTATATTTATTTTATGTCTTGGTTTTGCCTATCTTTGTCTACATTATTTTGAATTTCATGCTTTCATTTCTATAACTGAACGTTGTATTCGGCTGATGATGGGCTTATATGAGCCCGAAACATGTACCAACATGAGTGATCTTTGATCACGCTAAATAAAAGTTGTGGAGACGACTTTGTTTGAACTAATTTTTCGCTGGTGATTACCCTAGGTTAGTTAAATCGAGATAATCGTATCACGTCAAAAAAAATCTTACCTTCGCGCAACTGGACTTTCAGTCTGAGCCCATCTATAGTGGTTACAGGTACATCTAGATCGATGGCAACGTTCCCATTCAGAATGAAAACTTCGTCCAAGTTGTATTGATACTTGTGTAAGCTAGGTCTCAGTACGTCGACAATGATTTTAGTATATTTCGATCTGATGTTTATCGTTTTTCTATTGGGAAGATCGAGTTTGAATACTACCCGCTGTTCGACGGTAACCTCACACCCCGCCAATTTGCTGGAGGATTCATTTACATCCATGCACTAAAAAAAAAGATTGTATCTTTGTATCAATCCACTGTGTCACTTTTCACACCTAACTATAGTTTTTTTATTGTTTAACGAGCACGGATTGATAGTGATTTCCCACGCGTAGGCGAATGCTGAGATCATTGGATTCTGATTCCCTCACATTTGATGAACTTCGAAAACCGAAGAAAATGAACTTACCTTTGGATGTTTGTTGGTGAAAACTTCGAAGGATGAGTAAGCAATTCCTCTTTTGTCCAATATCCTATTCACCAAGTCTTGGATAGTTTCGGAGTCCCTAATTTGAGTGACAGTTGTACTTCCATTGCTCAAAATCACCCGACACAATGCTATTCTGTCATTATTTGAGGCTAAGTCTTCTTGACAACAGTGTCTTGGTTTATCTAGTTCCTGAATCAAAATTTACCCATAGAAACAAAGAAATATCAGGAATATATAGATATTTGTTTAACTAGGCAGCAAAGTAGTAGATTGACTGCCGTGGCTGAATTCATAGCCGAGCGTAGCGAGTCTAGGAATCCAGCTAAGGCAGTCAATCTACTTTGCTGCTGAGTTGAACATATAATTTTTTCTCCGATTGTTCATAATGATATGGGAGAATATTGTATTTGCGAATTAATACAATTCCCACAATCTCTTTATACTTCCTGTATAGTCGCAGTTGTTGGTTTGACAATTCATGAAATTTCTGACAGTTGTGCGAAAAAATATCGATATATTTAAATTATTATACAGTGTGTCCATTTAGTGCGTAATTCTTCGATATCTCGAAAGCCATAACCTATAGAGAAAAACTTTGGAGAAAAAACTTCTTCAGTTACTAAAGTTGCTCATTTCGAAAATATTTCTAACGATACTGGGTGTTTCATAAAAGCGGGGCAACTCGAAGACGAGTTTTTTCAAATGGAACACCCAGTATTGTTCATTCGAAATTTATTCCGCTCAAGTTCAGCTCTACATCGCTGTGAAAAAAATTGAATTTGGTTGCGGCGTTGCCAAGTTATAATTGATAAACCCATTTTTTCTACTATTGAAGGGTCATGTTCAATTGGGTATGGTATATTTATTTATTGAAATTTCGAAAATATTTTTGGCATACAGTAGTAGCAAGGTCTCACGTATACCAATCCAGTAATCTTGCGAGATAATCCTCTACAGGGTGCTAAAATTTACATTCTAAATATTGTAAGATTCAGACGACAATCATAAGAAATTTTCAAATGGAACACCCTGTATTTTTCATCACGGATTCATTTCGACATCATTCGCCTTTTCATCGCAGAAGAAAAAATCAAAATCGATTGCGGCGTTTTCAAGTTATGAGTAATTTCCTTATTTTTACTACTATTTCGGGGTAATTTGTTCGTCCTGATGGTTCCTCAATTTGATTTGAGTGTGGGAATATTGCATTTTGAACAAATTTTTAGAACAATTGCTTGCCACATGACATTCGGGGTTCTACATAGATCATTCAGGTATTTTTGTGATATGTGCATCGTCCAAATTTGAAATATTCCGTAATTTTGCTACTTATGATTCAAATGATATGTGAAACAAACAAACATGCCAAAAGCAACGCCTGTCTGTGAAATAACTTCTACAATACAAACAATGAAGATGCGGATTACGAAAATTAGGAAATTTTTTTGAAATTTGGGCCATTTTTATTGTCGTTATTGTCACAATCCAAATCTTCATTTACCTTGAAGAAGGTAAACATAATGATACAAACAATATGTCTCTACTACGCGGCTTTTGGGAGGAAATTCAGCAAAATGTCGAATCAATCCAAGATATATTTGATTGTAGCGATGTTTGACAGGTCATTACACAAATATTTCGAACAAAATTCAAACTTGGAGAGCCTGTATAAATGTTCCTTTTGTAAAAAAATATATGAATGGTCAATGAATAAATTTGATTATACCGTAGCAACGCAATATTTCCACAATACAAATAAATGAAAGAACTATATGACGTACAAATTACCCCGAAATAGTAGTAAAAATAAGGAAATCAACCATAACTTGACAACGCCGCAACCGATTACGATTTGTTTTCCAGCGATAAAAAGGCGAAAGATGTCGAAATTAATTTTTGAATAAAAATACAGGGTGTTCCATTTGAAAAATTCTGATGAACGTCATCTGAATCTTGCAAAATTCTAAATGCAAAATTGAGCACCCTGTTGAAGAACATGTCGCAAAATTACTGGATTGGTATACGTTGGTCCTTGCTCCTACCGTATGCCAAAAATATTTTCAAAATCTGAATAAATGAATATATCATGCCCAATTCAACATGACTCTTCAATAATGGTAGAAATAGATTTATCAATTGTAACTTGGCAACGCCGCAACCGATTTCAATTTTTTTCACAGCGATGTGAAGGTGAACCTCGACGGAATTAATTCCGAATGAACAATACTGGGTGTCCCTTTTAAAAAAACTCTACTTCGAGTTGCCCTGCTTTTATAAAACACCCAGTAATGTTGAATATAATTTTGAATTGAGCAACTTTAGTAACTGAAAAAGTTTTTTCTCCAAAGTTTTTCTCTATAGGTTATGGCTTTCGAGATATCGAAGAATTACGCACTGAATGGACACACTGTATAATGGAAAGTGATAGCGACCTGGAAGTATACTTACACCTCCATTAATAAGGGAGGTGGCAAAAAATATAGAGTTGAATTTGTTGCCGGGAAAGTCTTGGATGAAATATGAAGGGAATTATAAACGATTTATGGATTTTTAATTTTGCTGATACATATCAATCAGCAAAGTAACCACTTTGCTGCCTAGGCAGGAAAAGTAATACTTTGCTGATTGATATGTGTCAGCAAAATTAATATTTGCTGCCAATCGGAGGAAAAATATTTTTCTTCAAGAAATTATTCGTGATCACCATCGGCACCAGGTGTCACACCAAAACTACGGGAAAACAAAGGGAATGTCATCTTGATGTCATAATATATCATATGTCATTTCGGAGATGTGCTTTTGGTGATTTATCTCTACTTCCAAATTATAATTTTCCAAATGCCTATTGTGAACATAAATTTAGCTTATATCATTGAGTAGTTGAGTGGGAAAATTAGGCCTGTGGCCGAAGGGGAAGCAGATTCAATGCCAACTATATTATCCTGTGCCAGGTAGAAGATGTGGAAAATAGACGAATTTTTGGTCTTTGTTCACAAAGTTCTGCATTGAAATCTCATCCACACTAAATCAAATTGAATTTGGGATCAGTAGGTACATCTGTGACTCAGTGGATCTGTATATGCAGTTGTAAAGCAGGCCAATGTGGCTTCTGTAAGCATGTTGTTGCTTTACTGATACATGTTAATCGATAGGTAGATATTGAATTTGAAATAAGATCTTCTGAAGTTGGGAATTTGCATTATCTTTCAGACAAGAATATATATTCGCAATATTCAACAGAAAACAACTATAGGTACTTTCCTGGTTATTTGCCTCGTCGAACATTGAATTACATTTGTTGAACACCCAATTATCAGAAAAATAATTATCACTTGGTGTGTAATTTTCCAAACTGAAGTGTTCACTGCAAACACATATATTTACTGATCGGTTTTCCGATTTCCAATCTGTGTATTAACACAACTATGAAATTGAGATTCACAAACGTAAAATTAACAATTTATGTGAATAAAAGGAAATATTCGATAATATATCACCACAATGATATTACCATAAAAGTGACATAGCCATCATAACAATAGTTGCGTTTTATTTATCCGATTCCGCTACCGGAATCACTTAAAGACTTTGACACCCTTCCTTTGACTTTTTTCACTTGTTTGTTTTCCCGGAGTTCAAAGTGTAACTTTATAAATGTAGGTGTCACCCACTCTGTGGATATCGCGAATAGAATATTCTTGAATCGCAGAAGCATATATCAGCAGTTTCCTTACCTGATTTGAAATAGCTAGGTCCAGGGAAGTCAAAGAAGATCCGCTGGATTGCAAGTCACCTCTCGTGCTATCAGCTACATTGTTGTTTTCGCTAGTAATAATGTCGCTCTTCTGGCTATATTCCGACTCTCCGCGATCCTTTGATTTTGATCTATTTTTTCGGTGCCAAGGTAGTAGCGACTTTCTTCGACCTTCGGCATTGCTGACAGATTTCTTCAATAATTTCGAAGGTGTGGAATGTGATTGATGAAATACCAATCTATAAGTAGAAACAAAGACAAAAATATAATTTCAAATACACAACAGACCCAGTATAGATCGTTTTTTATATCTCACACGTCCAGGGCCTATTTTTAATCTTGGAAGAAGTCGGTTATATAGATTAGAGGTTTCTGTTTTGAATGATAAATATCACTGTGAAGAAAAGCATTTGAAAGAATATGAAACATTTGACCACCTCGTCTCATTTTCAAATTATCATTCAGGTTGTGAATAAAACTTAGTTACCAATAGGCAAAGAGAAGAAAACAGTAATTTTCGATTTTCTGACATACGGAAATTTTCAATTTTCTTGACGTCAAAATCAGAAACTATTTTAATGGGGTTGTTTAGTTGAAATGCCGAATATCAACGGTATGAAATGGAATCATCAATTTCAAAGTTTAACACATATTATGTGATTTCTGTAAAGCAAAGCTAGTGATGACGCAACTCTCCGGGAACCAATGAGAGTGAAAAATGTAGAAATCATGCACACTGCCAAATGTATACTCGTCTTCAGTGATCATGTCGCACATGGACGGTGTTAGCTCCCTTGATCACCGTTGCAATAAGAGCGCTCATATCGTTCAACCGCCACATGTTTGCTGAAGACGAGTGTACTTATCAAATATCTCAATCAGTTTAATATTTTCTCTTACAAGAATGATTATTGAGATTATTGTTCGAATTCAAATGACCGTTGTAGTCAAATGAAATAGCTTCGAGCTTGAATCTTATTCTACCATTGAGATTTCATAACTTCACAATAATAATCGAAAGCAATTGTCAAAAAAAAGAGAACCTACTTGACCTCAAATTTCAAATGTTAACAAATGGTTGATATTGTCGTGGTTTAAATTAGATTAAATTCAGGTTATATGAAATATTTTCTATAATTATTGTAGAGTAGATTGAAAAACACATTATATCAGAGTGCACAGTATATCCACTAACTTCCAAATGAATTATTTCTCAAAGTAAGATCTCTATTTGAATTTATGTTGTTCAAGCAGTGTTCTCCATCATACTCCAGCATCAATTTAATCATTTTAAACTAAGGATAATTTGATAAAAAATGCAAGTTGAGTTACCTGTTGAGTAATTGTGATTAAATTATTAGAAGAAAAAGCAATAAAGGTCCTAAAGTCTGCCGACCACTTTGAGAAATATGGATGGTTTCTACGATGTTATTAAATTATAGGCCACTCAAAAATTATTTATATGTATAGGTCAGTATTCACTTATTTGATAAATTCTTCATTGTTACTCAATTTATGGTTCACACCTATTTCCTCAGACTAAATAACAATAGATAGGACAACGCGATTTATTTATAAATAATCAAAAAGTCTACTCCAACAATACTAAACGTCAAACACAGATAAATAAATAAAATCGCGAATGACATAACTCAACAAATATAAAATATTTTATTAACAATCTATCATTTTCTATTTTCGAGAGTTAACATTCTACACATATATCTTAGTTCAAAATAGATCGGCAATTAATTCGTAATCAAATTCGTTCTCAATGGACATGCAATGAACATTTTCGAATTCGTCATTCAGGCCACGTCTTCCGCCGACAAAACAGCCGAAATGAATTATCCTTCTGTATTGTATTATTTTTGGTTCACACCTATTTCCTCAGACTAAATAACAATAGATAGATAAATCATCAAAAAGTATATGCCAAAAATCCTAAACGCCAAATACGGATAAACTAATGAAATCGCGAATGGGATAACTCTGCGGAATCATTGCCAGTGAATAATTGAAATTTTTCATATACCTATATATTTCTTCAAAGAGTATACTTGCGCTTCTCTGGTTAATATTTAATATACATATTTACGAAATTTGAAACATTACTGAATTGTACTTATATAAATGTATGAATGTGCATTAATAAACTAATTCTCACGCATTGTAACATATCAATACGTCATTTTGTAACGTCTCAGTGAGGCTATTTGATATTTTCAATATTTTAAATAGGCTTTTCATCAACAATAGCAAGCCCTGCAAAAACACCGCCACTGTTCCTTTCTATGTAACGTAAAATATCAGGTTAGGATATTCGTATTCAAATTTTTATTTATTTACAGATTTGACACTGCTGCACCAATTTATTCACAAAATAGGCTTCTTTACATTTATAATATTGAATGAGCTACTGAAACACCGAAACCTGATCAGACAGCAGCCGGAAAACCATTAATGACAACAAAAATGACAAACGACATTTCTTACCACGATTGTTGCTCATGTACTAAGAAACTGTGCTGCCATGTAAATCTTTAAAAAATTCATATTCTTCTTGTTTTATATACCTTACAATAGCTAATACTAATAAATGTATAATTATTAGTAGTGAATTTTCGACAATAGGGAATTTCACCATGATATTTAATTTTTTTCCACGATATAGAACACAAACTGGATGAAATCAGCATTTTTTTAATTCTTTTTATGATAACGGTTGACCCAGAAAAAATAACTGAATTGAACATGAATTCGAACGATAGCTCTAATGCGTGCGAAATATTACTGGCATTTCATTGGACGAATACAAGGTGCGTCACACCGCGTCATACACTTTGGATAGGCTTTCTCATTGGGTAATTCTTCTTGTCACTCGTCATATAAAAAATGTTAACATAACCTACGAAAAATATTTTTATAGGTAGTTCTTTGGTTGAAATAAAGTTATCAAAATACCTGCTTGCTTTGGAATACCTTTTTGAAAGTCAACAACAGGTAGATTTTGACTGGTAGCCTTTTCAAATGTTTCCTCCATGTCAACTCATATATAAACACTCATATAACATGAATACTTGAGGAACACAATAAACAAACACGCGAGTCCACGATAAATAAAATGAAGTAATGAAATGGTTCTGTGCAACGCATGCAAAATGCATTGTCAGATGGAGCCACAAGAAAATATAACTGACGTCACACCACGAAAAATGGTCGCTCACTCTCAAGTTGTAGCACTTTTGAAGTAGTAATTGAACGGTTGTAAATGAATCAATAGATGAGAGGAAGTGCTATTTGATATATTGAGTCATGTTTGAGACCATTCCCCATATAAAAAAGGCTATTTTCAATTATAGTGAAATTGCCTATTATGGGTGTAATATAATGTTTTGAAGGATTTTTGTCATGAGCTATTTGCCGAGTTGAATGAGGTGTTTTATCCGGAAAATCTTCTTGAATCGTCGATTTGCCAGCGGTTCCACAGAGGTTCTTAGAATGTGATGTCTTTTACACAAAAGAAATAAGCAAAATAAATCACTCTTTCTAATTACACTCCCCCAAAAAATTAAAGCACCACCAAAAGGTATCCGAAAGAGATACATTTTCATCGGAACTACTAGTCCGATTTGGCCATTTTTTGTTTTGAATGATCGTTTATTATCTTCTGAATATTGGTATGCAAACTGTATTCGCATAAGAACCTCTTTTTTATGAATACCGGGTGTAGCAATTATAGCGTTTTTTTCATGTTTACTGCAGTCTGTCACAAAGATTAAAGGTCCCGACGCCAACTGAACCTACTGTCTCGTGAAAGGATAATATACTGTGCTATAAGGATGTTATCCGTATATGTTTAGTAGGTATATGGTCCGAACTCTTCAACTGATACCATCCAGTGACTCTAGTTCCTTTATAGGCGACTGAGATTAAGATCGTAGCGCCAGAACGGCGAATGTCGGTACTACTCTATGGGCCATTGGCAGATTGTTTACATTCTTCAGTAATGGTGTTTATGTTCATTTCGTTTTGATATTTCAAACGTTTAGCTTCATTATTTGTGTATTTTTGAACTTCGTGTTTTCCAGTGGTTTATCATGTTTTGATTGAGGACAAGATTATATCTGTTCAGTAGATAACCTACCTACCTCTAGTTGACATTTATATGTACCATCATATGTAAGCTTTAAGTTCTCATCATTATTGAACAAAAATTCTCATTATTCTACCTGTATATGTATTCACCTGATAGCATAATATTTTTGGAAGAAAGGACCTACCTTTTGGGAATGAAATGTTCTTTCGTAGGTAAAGTTATATACCTCTGTTTTACTTACTTTTTACAACACATAATAATCAAATACCTCTATTTATATTCTTGATACAAAAACTGAATGTTAAAAATCATTTTACAGGTACATAGTAGGAAGACTATCATAGAAGCTCTCGAAAAAATCATTTATATGTAGTCCAAGGAAATGGTGAATTTATATAGTTGAAGAAGCTACATAATTATTATGGGCTGATACAATTGGGGATGGCTCTACTTTTAATCTAAACAATACATTTTTGGTTACATATTAATCTTTCAGTTACATTATTCTGAATTTATTTTGGTTATTAATAGAATTTGATTTTGAGTTTGCGAAGAACATGTTATGTTATGGAAGAAAATTATATCAATAAAATGTTACATGTTTTATGTGAAACCCAGGATTCTGGTTGATGAAATTCTTTACTGTTTATAAATTCTACTGTTCATGAGTAGTATTATGATGAAAGATATAATCAGTTGAAAATTTGTTTGTTTTTTATTATTACCCCAAGAAGTAGGTATTATATTCATAATAGACATATACCTATTATATGGAAATATATGGGTAAATTTTCAGTAAAGTGAAAAGAAAAGTTATGAATTCACATTTTTCTTCTATGGATCACTTCATTGTTTCCCAACTTAGTTACAAATACAACTTAGGGTTGTCCTGATTTTGGAAAGGTATGAAAGCTTCAGTCGGGATTTCTCTGCTGAAGATGAACAATGGGGTACACAACAATAGTGATTCATGTTTTTAAACGTTTATAAAATTTCTCAAACAAAATTATAGACGATTTAAACACAACTACTTCTCATATAAAACACATGCAAACTGATGTAAACAAAGCAACCAATGGCCCATACGTTAGTTATATTAGAAAACGGTAGAGGGCGTATTCCTTAGCAAGATTCGCCTATAAGCCTATGACCAATGAACTCAATACAACTGGAAGGGAGACGGCCGTTCTCTCGAATAGCACAAAGTGTGTCAGGGGCAGCTGCAACAAAGATAGCATGATTTACGGTAACCTGTCTCTTTCCAACTCGTGTTGTTTAATGGTGGACTGGTGTTTACGTTTGCTTCTATCAAATAACTAAAGTACTTTAGATTTTTTTGTCACATCTAAACAGACAAGAAAGTGAAGACATAAGTTCATTGTCTTTGTTTATGTGAAATATCTATTCATTTGGCGTGTTTTGTTTTATACAAAGGACTGAATTTGTTGGTGTAAACACTGTGAACTGATTGTTGAGAAGGTTTTGATAAACAATGATGATTTATTGTGTCACCTTTGGATGTAAGATGGAAATTGTCATTCCGTGGGTAAGTTGAATATTGTTCAGTTTTTTGGAAAACATAGTTCTTGAAATGATCATCAGTTAGGTGTACAATGTTCCCAGTCTCAGAATATGTTCAAAAACTATAACCATATTATTTGTCAAAGTTAAATACTTCCATGACTTTTCCATAAACATATTAAGTAATATTATTTGTTGCAGTTTTCCATTCAGACATTCTTGATTTATGAATTAAGGCAGTTCCTAGAGAGAGTTGGACTCCATCTAAAACCAGCAAGCTTTGTGGAGAGCATTTCCTGCCAACTGATTATTTATTTAGACATACCAGGTACTGCTAGGTTATTGAAACCAGATGCTGTACCCAGTATTTTTCCATTTCCTAAGCATTTGTTACCAAAAAATACTGATCCTTGAAGGAAAATAAGAAAACTCATAGGTACCTAGTTGATTAATAATGAAAAAAAAAAAGTATGTTTGCACCTTTTTGAAATAAAAAACTAGCTATAGTAATTTATTTTCAAGATGCATCTGTGGAAGTTCATAGCATTGGGTCCTGAGGAAGATGTTTCTCATATTATGGACTTTACCTATGACTTCCAGCTCCCAAGTTCTGAAAAATAAAGAAACCCAAACTGTTCCTTTGGAGAAGGATATTGTATTGAGAATTGCATTTTTTAATTTCTAATAGGGATATGTTTGTAGGCAGTGAACTAATGGTGAAATAGGAACCTATGGAAATTATGCTCAAAATGGACCTTATAGGTAGTCAATACCATTCAAGAACCTCTTTTCAAATTTTTCCTATCGTTTTTTTTTTCTTCTGATAGTGCTGAGACATTGTGCTTCGCTCACCCTGTACAATATATTTTGACATCTGAATGAAAATATATAATTTCGATTTTGTATTCATTTAACTTCCAAATCCTGTAAGAATAAAACTGAAATTTCATTTTCAAAATTTATCCTTTTTCCTACATGAATATTTTTATTTAATCACGTTTACTCTTAATTAAAAAAAACGGAAAAATATTTGAAATAATGCGACCGCTTCCCACTAGCGAACATAAGATAGAGAGAGATAGGTATCCGTAAACACTGCGGGTTGCCTGAAAAATATTTTTGTCTCACTCGTCGTTCACAGAGGGTCCCTTCCAGTTGTTTATATTGAGTTCATTTCTTATGACTGACCTCGTATCGAGCGGCCACTTCTCGATCTCCCCAGCCACGCACCGCTTGTAGATGTCGGACTTGAGGAACCGCGGATAGCAGTCGAGCTTCATCAGCACGAAGATCTGCTTCTGCGCCTGCTCGAACAGGCCGTGATCGGCGGCCGACAGCGAGTGCTCCGCCAAGTGCCTGCCCTGGGCGTCGACGTTCACCGGCTCCGCGGCGCCCACGCCCAGATGCAGCTGGTAGATGCGCTGCGCCTCGGCCTGTCGCTCGGCGCCGGGCGGCAGCAGTCTGAAGCGTTCGCACGCCGTCCAGAAGTATATGTTTTCGGCGCTGAATTGCTTCTTCAGGGACTCCTGTTGGATACGACGGATTCGTTAGTGACTAAATACTGTCTGTAGGTTAATCGAGGAGCAGATTTTTTGAGATTTTCTCTCCTCGTTTCTATTTGGGTCCCTTGATGCAAACTGACGTATTTGTGTTCTAACAGGGTACGGACAGATTATAGCTCCATTCTCTTTTAATCATCTAGTGACTTTGGTTTCGTGTTTTGGCGTCCCTGACATGACATTACTGTGACGTCACATTCATAGGCGTTAAAAGAGATCTTACAAGATTTCAATTTCATACTTGATCTTAATACGACATATTCAATTCTGTTTTGGAAGGATGGTAAAATGTGCTGCGTTAGGCTGTATCAATCAGTTGGATGGCAAATTTGAATTTGTCAACTTTCCATCAAATGCAAATGAACTTAGAACATGGAAAGTGAAGTGACCGAATGGGGAAAATTGGTAAATACATCAGCAAAATATTCGAGGTAAAACTAATACGAAATCAGATATTATATTTTCTCATTGTGCCTATAATTATCCACTCCAGTTTTTGAATGCATTTTAGTAGAAACAGTTTAGATTAAAACGAAGGATTAAAAGAAGAGGCATGTGCCCTACCATTTAAAAAGTTATACATTCGGGAAATATCAAGTGTGCGTGAAAAACTGCAAAAATGATTCCCAACATGAATATATACAACACACATGACATATGAGCACATTAGTTTGAATACCTACATAACATTTTTCACAATTTCTCAACCATAAGGCTTAGTCTGATATCAAAATTCATTTATTGATAGGTACTGCCTAAGAACAGTCCCATTTGGTAAAACGTATTAAACTTTCAGAAAAATTTGCTCACTGCCTCACAAAGATTATGCTGGAGTTGAAAAATCAATCAAAAATTCGAAAATTATCATCAAGTGAAATATTTCAGTTAGTTCAGATTGAAAGAATATTACTAATATGTAGAGTTGAATGAGAAATTCATGTGGAAATTACGCATGATACGCCAATGTCCTCAATATAACCTAAAAAACAACAAATGTCAGAAATCTAGTGTTTATCCCCAGGAATGAATAAAGATGGAACTATATAACTGTTTCACAAACACTTAGGAGTAAGAGGAGACGAGGATCTGTCCGTACCCTGTTAAGATGACAAATACGTCGATTTACATCAAGGGACCCTAGTTTCTATAAAATAAAAATATGAGTATTATTTCAATATACGTGTAGTGATCAGGCCCGGACTGGCTACTATTCTGCTACCGGGCATTTTCTCTGACCGGACCTCAATTTTCAGGTCCGTTTTCTTGGGTATGAATAATCATAATTTCATCATGATGATCATAGATTAAGAGTCGTTAATCAATGTGATGATACAAAGTGTGACTGGTTAAGTGGGGCAAAAGTTGCGCATCCAGAGCAGCCTTCGAAAATTTTCAAAATCATTTAGTTTTTCAGTTATATCGAAAAAAAATTTTTTTTTTTTGTTATTAGAGTAATAAAAAATCTGAAAATATTTCAGATTTATGTTTTTTTTTATCTCTACGGTCCCGATTACGTGTTCAGAGATTCTCAAAGCTTTTGTAACTCTGTATACAACTAAGTATTATACTGAGTGGTTTGAATGTGTTTCGACTTAGTTTTAGCTATCAATGTTTTTTTGAAATTCCAAAGAAAAAATATGATCAATAACATTTGTTGTGAAGAAAATTGATACACTAATACATTATTGACTGGTTTTAATTAGGATTTCTGTCTTGTTTCTAAATTGCTCTGGAGTACGTTAACTCCAAGAAAACTCCACTACTACTTTCACAACCACCCTGTATAATTCAGGTATTTGCATAAAATATTGTCATCACGAATTATCAACTTCCTCACCAAGTTTTACGGGATTCCAATCATTCGATGGATATGGGTATCGGGACGGGTGCTGTTTCATGGAAACTTGAACATCTGGTGTATAATATGCAAGACAAGAAATGCAATTATCATGAATCGATGTTGATATTAGTATACCACGAAATGTCCAAAAATGAATTGATTTAATAATTGGAACATTTGCTATTTTTGGACCAACTCTGTATATCGTGAGTACGTGCAGATATCATTGAACTCTATAGTGGATTTTCACCGGCCACATGGACAAACAAAACGTAGTCGATTTGATTTTGGTATTCAAGAAGCAAACTTCACAATGGCCATTCGAAAATTTGAAAAAGTCAACTTCAGCACCCTATATAATCCCAAACTATTGAATTTAGAGCGTTGATAATTGGGACATCTGATCAGCATCACGAGTTCAACGATGTATCCAAAATTCGAAAAAATTCACCGAAAGCCAATTTCCCCCCTAGTGCGGTGCGGGGTCCTTTATGTGTTCGAACAATGATTTTAACGGTATTATCGAAATTATCGATATTCTGGATATTTTACATTGACTACATCTTATTTTTATAATTGGGACGAATGAAAAAGAACATTAGGCGTGTAATGCATAGGATGGAAACTATAATCGACTATATTCCAAATGAATACATGACGCATGGTAATTCTAATGAGCGATGTTTGATCTCAGGAAATAATTGAAATTCAATGATGTGAACATCTTTCCATAAAGGAAACCTCAAACTTCACGCCACGTCGTGTGTCGTTAAATTAGGCAAGTATATTGCCACCAATATTAGCCAATCAAAGGTCGGCGCTTCCCTATGGTTGCCCATGCATTATTGATAATATCGATAAGAATTCAGATTAAAAATTATCGATTCATCGATTTAGATCAGTTTCAAAATTCCCATTGATTATTTATCGTTATCGTCCACCCCTATAGTCCATTCCAATGATAAAGACCGCATGGAAAATCATAGGGAAGCGTTGACCTTCGCTTTGGTTGGTTAATATCTGAGGTAATATTATTCTTGCCTAATATAATTACTCACGACGTGGCGTCAAGTTTGAAGTTTCCTTCAAAGAAAGATGTTCACATCATCAAGATTCAATTATTTGTCGTATTTTCTTTTCAATGAATCCTGAGATTAAACTCGAATTCAAAGTGGACATAAGTCATTAGAATTACCAAGATTTTGAATTGGGCGTCATATATTTATTTCGTCAGTGTTTACTTCTTTCAGAAGCAGCGCCGCCTACTATCTTATTCAGAATATAGTGAAGTGCCCTTTCTATGCGTAACTCGCCTTAGGGTCTTTTTCGTACGTCCCAATTATAAAAATAAGAGGTAAATGAACAATATCCACAATATGGATAATATCGATAAATGATAATCCAAAATCGTTATCGTCCATTCCTAGCCACCCCTAATCACCATGTATTGTATTGGTTTCTTTATTTGAATGATTTTTTCTTTTAGGTCCGTTGAAGCGAAATATTAAACGAAATGACATTTTGCGGCAAAACATCTGATTTGTCCTTACTACAAATAAACAATGATCTACAAATATTTAAATAATATTCATATTTTTATTTATAGAAACGAGGAGAAAATCCCAAAAATCTAGAAAAATTAATAAGATATCAATTTGATATTAGGACCTACCGTGAACATATGGAGCCCTAAGGGATCTTCCAAGAGTTTCTCGAAGGAGTGCGCCCAAGCAGTTGGACCTTCGGGGCTACTGCACTTTGCGAATCCATTTTGGTCAAACTGTAACATAAACAAACGTTAATGTAGACCAGCATTCCCATTGAATTTAATGAGTTTGGTGTTTATCCACTTGAGCCCAATACACAGCTGCATTAATATGTGAATGAAGAAGTTTAATGAATTAAACAATCCTCAATGAACTAAACAGATGACACATTTTATTGGTCAGAGAGTCAGAGATAAGTTACCCACCTCTTTGCATTGGTATTTGTTATTTCATCATAAATTAGTTACATACAGTATCCTAAAGGGAAATGGAAGCAAAGTTTCCACTCCATAACATTTGAATTCGTGTGTTACTGTTTGACACAGGAGACTGGATGTAAGAAGTTAAAATCTTTTCTGATAATAGTAGTTTACCTAACAAGTGCGGAAAGTGATAATTTTCCGCACGTATTAGGTATAGTATTTTTTCTACTAGCGTGAGGGAAAAACCCAAATTACTCTTTTCCCCACTCATTTGAGTGTTGAAAGTTTCCTCCGAACTAGTGCGGAAAAATGACTCTTTCAACACTGAATTGATTGAGGGAAAGTGGACTTCTCCGCACGCTAGTAGAATAAAATATTATTAGTATACACAGTACTTTTTTCTATAGAACTGCCAAGAAGTTTATTCATACCTAAAGTATGGTTTTCACACACAAAAATTGAACTTTTACAATGATTACACTGTTATTATTCTGCCAAAGGTTTCAGTCTCCGATATATTACAAGAGTTGTAGAAAAACAAAGCGTTATTCAATAAGTCAATTCAGGTTTTTTAATAATCGAAATTGACGCCAATATTGTAGAAATAGACTTTACTCATTTGATACATAAATAAGTATCACAATGTATTATATTATTCATTGATTTCAATGGTACAATAACAAAAGAAAATTACACAGGGCATATTTCAGAATGAAAATATATAATAGGAAGTTAAGTACCTCTAATAATTTCTGCAAAATCTTCTTCGTAGCCTTCAACATCAACAGAAAATAATAAGAATGGAAGTTGAATCAACACATGACACTACTTGTTCACATTTATTACTAATTCATTTAATATGAACAAGATAACACAGAATTTAATTGATAAGGTTGATATGATTCATAGCACATTGTAACGAAGAATATTTTTTATGGAATGATTTTTAGAATCAAAATGTTGGAATGAAATCATGTCATTTATTTACAAAAATTATGTAAAAAATTCGTAAAAACTACTGTATTTTTTATGACGGGTAAAATACCTATTCATTCAGATAACTGTACTTCTGGAATCCAAAATTTACATAATAGGTACCAAACATTACTTTTACCGATGATTGTATAAATAGATCGAGATATCCGTGATAAGAAAATAACTAGAGTTCGCAAATAAAAATACAATAGAATTCGAAAGTTAACAATAATTATGTGAATATTTATACAGGGCTTTCATTTCGAAACCTACCACCCTGCATATCTTCTGATCTGCGAAGATTATAATTTTTGACAAAAACAGGTCGATTTAGATATCTAGGGGGAAGTGAAATAACAGTATCAATGGAATGCTATGTTCATCCCCTTCACCCCCAGACACCCCTACTTTGAAGTCTCAAATGGCACCCCCTACTTTGAGATACATAAAATTGAAGGTATATCATTGATCAAATCAACCAGGTGAAAAATATTTATTTCGTATACAGGGTGAGTCATGAGGTACTGTACATACTCCTACCACGAACTGATGACCCTGACGGGAATATCGAATGGTCATCTGGAGTTCTCCTCCTCTTTTGCAATAATAAACAGTGTGATTTATAGGACAACAGCTTCTTTGATTCATTTCATTTTTTCATGGAACATTAGGCACTCCAACACCAATAGACTAACGTATACAGAATTGAAAAAAAACAATACCGTACTTGTGAAATATTGCCAGCTATCAAAGAGTTCACTCTGTATATGGTTTTAGTGAACAATGACATCTCTATCAATCAGAACAAAATGTGTTGTTGTTTCATCCAGCTGAGAATGGTATACCCTACTAGTTCCTTTCAAAAACAACTAGAATGATTCATTTTGACGAGTCGTGTCTGAGAAGAAATGCAATTTTTCAGAGTGGTATTCAAAGCAATTGCCCAAAATCTGCATTCTGAAATGATTCTTCTTTTGAGTTCAAAATTTTTTTCTGGCGGAGTCTTATAAACCATTGTTCTCAAATGACCCCACAGATAATAGTCAAGAGATGTCAAATCTGGAGATCTTGCTGGCCATTCTATGGCACCTCTTCTGCCAATACAGTGCCTAGAAAATCGTTGATTCAACCATTCTCTCACCTAGAAAAACATGTGGTGGAGCAAATATTTTCTAGCTGAATCCTATATATCACCCTGTTTATTATTGTAGAAGAGGAGGAAAGCTCCAGATGGCCATTTGAGATTTTCCTCAGGGGCTTCTGTTCGTGATAGGAGTACAGTACCTCATGACTCACCCTGTATACGAAATAAATATTTCTTCACCTGGTTGATTTGATCATTGATAGACCCTCAATTTTTTGTATCTCAAAGTAGGGGGTGCCATTTGAGATTTCAAAGTAGGGGTGTCTGGGGGTGAAGAGGATGAACATAGAATTCCATTGATACTGGCATTTTACTTCCCCCTCGATATCTAAATCGACCTGTTTTTTCCGAAAACTGTAATCTTCGCAGATCAAGAGATATGCAGGGTGGTAAGTTTTGAAATGAAAGCACTGTATGCGCACCCACTTTAGTTAAGTAACACATACATCAACTTAATTGAATAGCATGAAAATAATTGTTTGGCTACAAGGGAAGGATGAATAGAACCCAGTAAATTTTGTCCTGCAGTGGTGACCTGTGCTCTCTCAGACCGACCAGAAATCATTTTTTGAATTTTAGCGTTGACACACGACGCGCCCTTTATTGCTTCTCTCTAGCTTAACCTTCTTTGGGTCTCTTCAACCAGAAAGCACTAGCGTTAGCACGAAGCCAGTCTGTAGTTATTGTTTTCGGACTGTCAGACCGATGTCACCAGTGAAGTAACAAATCTGTTATATAGATATTTCTTGTTTTAATTCATTTTATGCGAAATCAAAGGTACACTCGAACATGTCGCCGTTGGACGGTATGAGCGCTCTTATTGCAGCGGTGATTAAGACAGCTGACACCGTTTATGTGCCACATGTTCTCTGAAGACGACTGTACCTCTAAATTCTTATACAAATAAAATGCACTTCTCCAAGAACTTAACGTACCACCAAAAAGTAGCTAGCAGTATAGGAAACATTTTCGTCAGAAGTACTTCTCCGATTTGGACGTTTTTTGTTTCGAATGACAGGTTATTTCCTTCTGAACATTGGTGTGCCAACAGGTTTCGGATTTCGGATTTTCCATTCAAGACCTCTGTTTGGATTACTGGATAACCATATTAGATATTATTTTGGAATGTTGGCACCATTTCAGTCCCATGAAACACTAATTTTTGCCGTAACGATAGCTCATACACGATGTTTACGATCAATTGCCAGTTAGCCCCGAGATAGAAGCGTTAGTATTCTAATCACATAGGCGTGCCGATAGTGGGATCAAATCCTAACGACTGCAGACATTTTTCTGATGGCCCAATGAAGTGTTTGGGATGACACGTTAAAATGTAAGACCCCCATAATTCCTTGCTCACACAAGTCTCTTGAAGACTTCTCAGGGTTGTTCATAAGGTGAACCTGTCATCTTATTTTTTCACATACCACCTGAGTCCGACAGATTTCCCACCTTTTTCACCCTGTATAAACATTTTTATTTTTCAATGTTGAAAATTCTGTACCGCGAGTTTAGTCACCTTCGTAATTGGAGGGGAATACCCATGCGTTATCTCTGCAAGCACCAGTGAACCGCCATACACAGTGAACCATTTTTAATTTTACACTTACCAATATTTAGGGAGAAACGCTGATGTACGTGGTACGATCTATCACATCATCACATCAGTATCATCAACCGTCTCCGTCTTTTAGTTCATCCCAGAACAAGCAATGAGTGAGATAGTGGTTTAAGGTAGGTGAATAAAAATTAACTATTCCGTTCACGTTATGATTTTTCACTATTTGCATATTTATTTGGAGTTTGGAGATGTTAAGTATAGTTTGTTTAAAACTGTCTATTTCAGCATGGAAAATGTGAAAACTGTTTCAACTAGTCTCACGATTATTTTTTACTAATTTATTCTCAATATTTGTTAAAATTTAATAGGGAACCAGTAGACATAATGATTCAATGTGATTACAGGCTGAATCACGGTGGATCGCACACTAGACCTTTCTGGAGAACGCAACTCTGGAGTATTCTGTCTCGAATAATTAGTTGTGTTCGATCGACCTAAAATATTCTCAGCGTTGCGACGTTGCCACTTATATTGAAAAGTAGCAACAACTTTGATTTTCTAAATGGGACACTCTGTATATTATTCCATTTTCAGATTCTTCCTTGAGAGCTGATTTTATCGATCCATAACACTTGGGCTCTAGCAGTAATAATTACAGAGTTATGGGATGTGAAAAATCGAGATTTTCCATCTTTAGGAATTTTTCGTGTCGAAACTATTTATTTCAATTAAATATTAATTGATAGTGAATAAAATGTTGGGATAGGGACATGAAAACCGTTTTGACCAATTATGAATAGTTTCGACACAAAAAATTCTTAAAGTGAAATATCTCGATTTTTCACACCCTATATCTTTGTTATCATTCCCGCTAGACCCCAAGTATTATCGATCGATGAAATCAGCTGTTCTGGGAAAATCTGAAAATGGAAGAATATACAGAGTGTCCCATTAAAAAAATCAAAGTTGTTGATACTTTTCAATATAAGAGGCAATGTCGCAACGCTGAGAATATTTTAGGTCGATAGAACATAACTAATTATCCAAGGAACCAAATGTTCAAAATAATCCTACGTTGCGTCCTCCAGAAAAGTCTAATGTATCATAAACCGTGAATCAGCCTGTATACTG